GATAAATCTTAGGACCGAAAATATTTCGTAGCTATCTAGCATGGTCATGTGACTGAATATGGCCTTCCTGGAACCTACCTATGTAATAGTAATAACTTTATCGGACATAATAATGTTGTATGAGGCAGCCTTCAGGAGTGTGCCCGTCTGTCTGTGTGTCTGAATGTTTGTCTGTGTGTGTGTGTCTGTATATGTGTCTCTATGTTTGCCTGTATGTGTGTCTTGTCTGTATGTGTGTCTCTATGCGCGTCTGTCTCTCTCTGTCTGTCAAAAATTATTTAATGAATAACGAAAGGATTTTTCTTACGGCGAAAATTTTTGCATTTTTCTCCGGTGGAGAGAAGGAGTAGGGTAGAGTATGAAGAAAGAATGGTTGGAAAGAGAGAAAGAGAGAAAGAAAAAGAGAGAGGGAGATAGAAAATGTGTGTTCATACGCATGTGTGGTTTCATGCGTGTGTGTGTTTATGTGTTATGTGTTGGAATTAACATTCATATAAATGTTTCTATAAACGTTTGTTTGTATGAAAGAGGAAGAGAGAGAGAGAGAGAAAAGAAAGATTGATAGCAAGAAATAGAGTAGAAAAGAGAGAGAGAGAGAGAGAAGAGAAGAGAGAGAGAGAGAGAGAGAAGATGTAATTGATGTGACGGTCATTAAGAAAGTATTTAGCAAGGATGGCTTAGATTAGTTGGCATCATGATCATCGCATATACATTAACGTCCATTCCAGATACGCTCAGGGCAGATTTCTGGTTTCATTTAATGATGTTTGAAACCTTTACAATTCACAAGAAATATAAAAACTTCCAATCGAAAATTCCGTTTTGATACAACTTTTACATCTGAATTAAGAATATTAAGTGAATGTGTAAGCCAATTGATGAATTATGAATGTATGAATGAATAAATGAATGATTGGATAAATGAAGGAATGAACAAACGGAAGAATGAATGAGGTTGTAAAAGAAAATTTGAATGTTGTAAAACAAAGACAGTACAAAATATCTTATTGAATTTTGTGTAATGGTTGGTGCATATATATTTACATTCAAAGTTATAGATTGTTTTTATAAATCATTATTAATAATATTATAAATTTTAATAGATTTTATGTTTTATCTTCCGCCATTAAGTATATTATTACATATCAAGTTATACAAGTAACTTATAACCAGTTTAATTAGCGCATAAAAAGTGAAGCGCTTCAACAACAGGAAAAGAAATTTTAATTTACAACCACTTTTGGTATTATATATATGGCGGACCCTGACTTATGTTATCGTACGTTCACGTTTTCTTCTCATAGTTTGATAAAAAGTTGCGCCTGATTAGAAATTAAAAATTCATCATGTCGGATGCCGATTGGGGTTGGTGAAGTTATTTTTTTACATTTTAATTCTCCCGATTTGCTTAATTTATTAAATGAAGCCATATTTTTGTCTACGTTGAAGTTGAATCTGTTCTGTTGTTGCTGTTTGTTGCGCGGTCGCAAACGATTGTTTAATTATTTATTTAAATTTTATTTTATATTTAATTTGATAATTTTTTTGATCATTTTTTAAAATCAGATGCCGATGATTTTGAGCCCGAGTTGAACCTAAAAGGAAAATCCACTGATAAGTGGGCAGGAGAAGATGAAGAAGAAGTGAAGGTAAATCCGGGAATGAATGAATGAATGAATGAATGATTGGTTGTTGATTGAATAAACAAGTAGATGAATGCATAAATTAAGTAAATTTGTAAATGAAAGCTGGAAAAAAAAGAAATTTGACAGCTGGTAATTAGTTAATTGTAGTTGTTCATTTCCCAAAACATTTCTAAATTTTATTTCAAATTTTTAGAAATATATTAATATATTAAATCATTAATATATTGTATTTATTTCTAACAAACTTGTTTTGATTTTAAACTTCACAACGATATTTATTTCTTTCATTGCAGGATAATTGGGACGATGAAGAGGATGAAACCGAAGATCAGAAATCGTCTAAACCAGGTTTCTATTCAATTAATTTTTTATATAATTTTATTTCATTTTGATATACATACAATCAAAGTTATAGTTATAATTATTTCATTTTAAAACTTTAATTGGTTATTGTAAAATTGTTTTATATGTAAATTTTTCAACCCCAAACAAACCATAGAACATCAAGTTCTAACCACAGTAGCTCCGCCAAAGAAAAAAAAATCGTTGAAAGAGAAGCTGGCTGAGAAGGAAGAGCAGAAGCGAAAGGAAGCTGAAGACAAATTAGAGAAGAAAAAATTGGTTTGAAGTGCTAATTTTTAGTTTTATTTATTATAAGTAAATTTATTATACCCATAATAATGTTTATTATTATCATAATTTATCATTTTATCCATAATTATGTGTTATTATTTTGTAATTTCTAGGAAGTTGAAGAGAGGAAGCAGTTAACACCAAAAGAATTGATGGAGGAAAAAATGAAGAGGCAGAAAATTCAAGAGGAGGCCGACTTGGCTCTGGCCATCGAAGCTTTCGGTTGGTTTTTTGGTTGCTGTGTGTTGCTATACTTGGTTGATAATGCTTTTTTATCATCATTCTTGTTCGGTGTTGTTTTTTTCGATTAATTTTTCATCCATTGCTTGTTAACATTTTTTATTTACTATCTATATTCTTTGTGTGTGTGTATGTAGTAAGTTTGTATTTAAAAATTTACTCGAACCCAGGTCTCGACAAAGATGACGAACAGAAGAATAAGAAAACAGGAGAGATCGAGTCCTTCGAACCGAACACGAAAGAAGATTTCGATCAATTGAAGATGTTATTGAAGAATAAATTAATAAAATACGAAGTAAGCAAGACCTTTCTATTATTTTGTCTTAAAAATTGTAAACTGGATAAATTATTAAAATACAAATTTAACAAAACTCCTTTGATATTTCTTTCAGAAATCTCCTCTGTATGTTTCATTTCTGGAAAGCTTATTCAGAGATCTAGTTCTCGGAGGTAAGTCTATTAAATATTTAATTAAGATCAATTAACAGCAATTAATTAATCAGTTTTATTAATCTCTTTATTTCATTCATCTGTTTTAAATTGATAAGAATTGAATTTAAGTATGATCATAACCAACCTCAAAAGACTATCTATTCATTTTGGCTGGCTGATTTCTAATTTTTCATGCTTGCTTGTATATTATATTATAACATATTATATAATAATAAATTTATTTTATTATTTTAAAATCCGAAGTTGAGGCAGACAATGTTAGGAAACTATCGACAACGCTCACAGCCTTATATAATGAAAAGTTAAAAATTTCAAAAGTAATTTTTTTTTTTTTTCATTTTATACTTTCATTCATTCACTTTATACTCTCGTTCATTCATTCGTTTTATACTTTCAACCATTCATTCATTTTTACTCATTTCTTCACCCTTTAAGAACAGTCATTTTCTTTAATATTTCATCTGGCTTGTTCATTCATTCATATTTTTTATTCTCTCATTCATTCATTCATTCTCCAATTCATTCATTCATTCATTTTATTCATAATAATAATAAAAAAAAATAATTTCTATTTCATCACTACCAGACGAAACCCAAGAAGAAGAACCTGAAGAAGGCCAGCCTAGTCATGGAGGCCAACACACTGGAGAATTATGACGACGACGCAGCCTACGATTACGACGACCTCATATAATAATAATTATTCTTTATTATTATTTATTATTATTTATTATTATTATTTTAGTTTTTATTATTATTATTTATTTTTCCTGCCTGTGTAATTATTTCATCGAGTTTGTTTGAGCAAAAAAAAGTATACATGATAGTGAAAATTATTTTTTGAGATGATCATCATATTTGTAATATTGTTAATGTTTCTCTCCTCTCTCTGTCTATCATATATGTATGCATATGTATAATTCAATTGTTGGAAATTTGTATGAAATTTTTTGATAAGGATAAATAGATTTGTGTTGCTTAATCACATAAAAATCCTTTTACATTTTCGTAGTTTTTTCTGTCAAAGTTAGTCAATGGTCTCAGTGCAAATTTAACTTAAAAATGTGCAGTAGAGTATTTTTGCATTGTTGGCATTGGCGTGAAATCAAATTGCCTCGAATTCGTGTATTGTATTATTCAATTCATTAATGGCGTGTTTGTTAAGTTAAACTAGATCTATGTAATTATTCGTAACTTTGCGATAACTTTGACAAAAAGAACCTTCAAGTCGTGTAAATTACTGATTGATTCGCCGGGAATTCCATTTCTATTTAAAAAATTGGGGAATTCCTATGAATCGAGCATGGGATTTCCACAAAACGATGTTGAATACGTAAAAGGTAACTTAATGAAACTCTTTCATTAATAAATGAATGATTTTGCGCAATATATAAAAATTTAAGTTGATGGTAAATTTGTTTATGAAAGAGAATGTTGAAATTTATAACTAGAGATGGCCTGAAGGACATTTGAAGGTGCTTGGGAGGAGCCAAATGGTGAAGATCTATATGGAGAAAAATATCACAAGTTGCTTGCATTGGTGCATGTTTGCAAGCATTTCAGGTTCAATTTTGCTGGGAATTTGTGAAGTTTCAGGCAGGATTCAACTTGAAATTCAAGTTTGTGCTTGTCAATTTATAGTTTATTTGTTAAACTAATTATTTCTTCAGCGATTCAGCTAAATATTGTTGATTTAATTACTGAATTTGTCACAAGTTATTGAGAAAAAAATGCATCAAATCATTAGAATTAGAAAAAGCGATGCTACGATGCGTTCATTTCTAAATTCTAGCGCCGCTTAAACTGCAATGGTTTTATGATTTTTAGATCAATCAATTGTCATCCATTCTCTCTGTTGTATTGTATTCTTTATCCTATCTATTTATACTGTACTGTAGTTCTATTCTACTATAACTATGGGCTATTTATATAATTGTTACACTGCTAAATAAATATTGTTACAATTTATGATTCTATCTATTGTTAACATGCAGTCAATCATATCTTGTTATTTGAAATATGTTGCACTCAAATGAAATTACTTGCAGTATCAGTTAATATGATATTATAATGATGTCTGATTGCTCTGTATCTCAGTTAGCACATACATATTTTTATGATATGATACATCACCTACATACATACATACATACATACATCATCATTTTTATAATTCTGTCATCAGTATTTTAAAAATTCTTTCACAGCAAAGGGTCATAGTTGAATATTTGTTCAGCTCTCCTTAACCTGACCCAATTTTACTTTGCCCTACTTGCATCAAGTTCGCCAAAGCACAACACCACAACGACAACAAGTACATCATCATCAAACAACAACATCATCATCATGACATCAACGACTTGTGTGAAGGAGTTGTTCACACACATCATTGATGAGGAGAGGCACACGAGTGTCAAGGTCACGGTCGTCGGGACTGGCCAAGTGGGGATGGCCTCTGCTTTTGCTATGCTGACTCAGGTGCTGCTGATGATGCTGATGCTGCTGATTATGATTGCGGTGTCCATTGACGTTGTTGATGATGATTGTGATGATGATGATGATGAAAATAATTCATTCGCCATCCAACCACATCTATTATTTTTTTAATTGTATTTTTTCTAGCGCCATTATCATTTAGAAAAAAATTTATATAGGGTGTAATTTCAGAACTTGCCCTCGTAGACATGGTGGCCGACAAGTTGAAGGGTGAAATGTTGGACCTGCAACATGGGCAGGCCTTCCTTAGGACGGTCAAAGTTCAAGCCAGCACTGGTCAGTTGGTTGGTCGGTCGGTCGGTTGGTTTGTTAGTCGGTCGGTTGGTTGGTCAGTTGGTTGGTGGTTTCTCAATCAATCATACATCTAGTTGATCAATCAATCATCCATCTATTTGATCAATCAATCAATCAATTATCCATCTATTTGATCAATCAATCAATCAATTATCCATCTATTTGATCAATCAATCGTGCCACTGACGAACCGACCAATCAGATTACTCAGTGACGGCCGGCTCGAAGATCTGCGTGGTGACTGCAGGTGCCAGGCAGAATCTTGGCGAGACAAGACTCCAACTCGTTCAGAAAAATGTCGCTATTTTTAAACGTAAACAAACGAATGAAGGAATGAAGGAATGAAAAAATGAGTGATGAGCGAGTGAACGAATGAATGGATGAATGAATGAATGAATGAAACGAAAGAGCACAAAGTCAATTAATCAATTTTGTTATTTAATGGCAGACATCATACCAAACCTGATAAAGTACAGCCCAAACTGCATTCTCATCATAGTTTCCAACCCTGGTGAGTTGTGTTCATCTAGCTTCATCATCTACTCGCATCACCTGGTCGCATCGCTAGTCACATCATGTAACCATTCTACCAACCTAACAGTCGACATCTTAACTTACGTGGCATGGAAGATTAGTGGCCTGCCTCGCAACCAGGTCATAGGCAGTGGCACCATGCTGGATTCGAGCAGGTTTAGATTCATTCTCAGTGAGAGGATTGGTATTGCGCCGAAGAGCGTTCATGGATACATCATTGGAGAGCATGGAGATAGCAGTGGTTAGTCGGCTGGCTGGTTGGTTGGTTGGTTAGTCGATTAGATGGTTGTTTGGTTGGTTGGCTGGTTGGTTGATTAGTTGGCTGGTTGGTTGATTGGTTAGCAAGATTCCCACAAACTCTGACAAGCCCAGCCCTTCAACACACACTGACACGCACAGTTGCAGTGTGGAGTTCTGTGAACATAGCGGGAACGAGACTGAAGGACATCCACCCACACACCGGCGATCCAGATGATCCTGAGAACTGGAATGAAATCCATAAGGAAGTTGTTAACAGGTCAGCAGTTTTTATGCCGTTCTGAGTCTTTGCATGTTCGTCCATCTATTCGTTTGTTCTTTCTAACTTTCATCTGTTCACTCTTTCATCTGTTCGTTCTTTCATTTTTTCATACGTTAGTTCACACTGACTCACATCGCAGTGCATACGAGATCATCAAGTTGAAGGGCTACACGAGTTGGGCCATAGGGGTCATGATCTCCACCCTCTGCAATGCAATACTCAAGAATCAGAAGGTCATCTACTCACTGAGTACTCTGGCCAAGGTCAGTTGGTCATGAGGGTGATGGGTGCGATGTGGCGATGGTGTGTCGGGTGAGGGTCCTGCAAAGTTTTTATTCTCCCGTCTCATAGATGGGATGTTATATACGTTGCATGCAGTTTTTTATTTAAAGCTAGGTAAATCAAAGAAACACACACACACACACACACACACACACACACACACGTACACAGGGCTACCACGGAATTGAGGAGGAGGTGTTCCTGTCCCTGCCGTGTGTGGTCGGTGAGAAGGGTGTGGGGGCGGTCTTCGATCAAAAACTTCTGCCCAACGAGATGGAGAAAGTGAAAGCCAGCGCCAAAACTCTGCATGACGTCATCAAATCGCTTGAATTGTAAACATGCTGGCGACGATGTGGTGGTGGTGGTGTGGTGGTGGTGGTGTGGTCATGTCGTGTGGTGGTGTTATTTATTGATAATGATGGTGGTTATAATGATGATGATTAATGATGAGAAATTCGGCTGTTGATGCTGATTAAGATGATGACGATGAAGCTAATTGTAATTTATAAATATATATTTATTTATGTGTCTGTGTTGGATAGTTGTGGCTGGATTTGCATTCAATCTGTGTGACATTTTTTTATTTCAATTTTAATACATTCTTTTATGCATTTTTTTAGTGTTTGTTCGTTCATTCATTCATTTACTCATTCGTTCACTCATTCGTTTGTTACATTCATTCGTTCATTTGTTAGTTCGTGTGTTCTAGGCTCATTTGCATTTTTGTTTTATTCATTCTTAATGGGAAATCCATACACAACTATATGGCATGCTGTGTATCATATATATAAACACATATATGATTGTGTACGTGTGTGTGTGTGCGTGTGTGAACCTTCAAGATAGGCATCGTTGAATCTCCAACATTGAAATCCCAAATACAGACACGCACAGGCACACACGCACACACATATTTGCCTTTTCTGCTGAAGGGGGCTACCATGTTCTTGGTGTTTTTCTATACTTTTGAAGATTTTTTGAAAAATAAATTCTTAACCTCCGTTGTTTATTTTTTGTCTACCGTATGTGTGTGTGTGCGTGTGTGTGTGCGTGTGTGTGTATGTTCGTGTGTGGTTATTTAGTTTACCTTTTTAAAACAAGTTAAATTCACATTCATCGTTTTGTCACTGGAATGTTTATAAATTTATTTCGATCGAACAATTTAAAAAAAAAACTAAAATAATAAAAATCGTGGCGTTTAGCTTATAAAAATGGGTAATGAAAACGTACGACAGATACAGACACACACACAGACAGATACAGACACACAGACGGATACAAACACACACAGATACACACACACCCAATACTTAGCACTGAACATAGAATAATACGCTTTTACGTAAAACAAATTGCAAAGTTTAATAGACAAAATAAAAATCGTTCCGGTGAAGAAATTTCACAAAAATCATCACAAATGACTTCATCATTATTGTTGTTATTAGTTATTAATTAATTAATTAATTAATTATCTAATTAATTATTTATTTATAATTTTATAGTTTCTCTTAGGAGGAGTCGGTGGTTTGTTGAGATTATTACATTTTAATCCTTGCAATAAGTGAGATGGAGGTGGGGGCAGAAAATCAATATCGTCGTCGTCGTCAACAACTACATCATCAGCAACAACATCGGTAATAATGTTGTTGTTGTGTGGCGTGTTGTTGTTGTTGTTGTTGTGTGGCGTGTTGTTGTTGTGTGGTGTGTTGTTGTGTGGTGTGTTGTTGTGTGGTGTGTTGTTGTTTTTGTTGTTGTGTGGTGTGTTGTTGTTGAGTGGCGTGTTGTTGTTGTGTGGTGTGTTGTTGTTGTGTGGTGTGTTGTTGTTGTGTGGTGTGTTGTTATTGTTGTGTGGTGTGTTGTTGTTGTGTGGTGTGTTGTTGTTGTGTGGTGTGTTGTTGTTGTGTGGTGTGTTGTTTTTCAGCATGTTGTTAACAGTTGTTGCTTGTGAATTCATCAGGGAAGCATGTGCAAGATGTAGTTGTTGTAGAAACTGTTCGTTGTGCTGCAGAGGTGAACTTTGTAGTTGTGGCAGTTGTAGTTGCTTTTGTAGTTGTTTGCCGCAGTCTGAATTATTCCTACTAAGGATCCTGCTCTTGAAATGACCAGCCAACATGGCGAATCTTCCTGAGCCAACTTCTAAACGCTCGTGACCGCCGCTTTCCCTCGCCATGTTGCCCCCATCTCCATCTTCTTCTTCACCATCACCGTCGTCTCTTTTTCGCGGATTGAAACTCAGCAGATGAGTTTCTTGTGTAGATCTTAAACTTTTTTCCGTGTGGATTCTGCTCTGGAATGAAGTTAGAGTGCCGGGATTTTCGTTGATTACTATTTTCGGCGATTGCGGACAGGAAGTTGGCTGCAGGGGAAGGAAGCTGGTCACGTGGTTTCTGGGGCCGGAACTTAAAGCTCTGCGTACGATTGTATGCTTTGGATCGGGAATGAGATGATGATGTGGATTGAGAGGATAATGACGGTAACGATCTGGAGTGAGATGTTGAAGAAGAGAGGGAGGAGGCTGATGATGATGGTGGTGGTGGTGGTTGGGTTGTAGGGTGATTTTTTGAAGAGCCAGAGGTCTGTGCGAGTTCGTTGCGTTTTCGATGTTGTACTCGTTCAATGATTTTGTCGGGGAGAATAAGTGAGTATTTTTTTGAGTTAGATCTGTGAGACTGCAGTTGTTGTTGCTGTAGTTGTTGTTGCTGTAGTTGTTGTTGCTGTAGTTGTTGTTGCTGTAGTGGTTGCTGCTGTAGTTGTTGTTGCTGCATTGGTTGCCGTTGTTCTGGTTGCTGAACGTGTAGTTATTACTTGCGGGCGATATTTGACTCTGTATTACATTTCCGATAGATTTCTGGCGAAAGGAGGAAGATGATGATGCTAACTTTTCACTCATTTCATCCATCAGAGTAGAGAGTTGTTGCTGCTGCTGCTGCTGCTGGGAGTCCTGCTTATCCCAAACGCTCTCAGCAACTGGAAGCTCCATCCTCAACGAACTATCGCTGCTACTGACCGTACTCGATTCCGAAATTCTCTGTGAGTTTCGTTTCGATTTGACGGTCTGCTGGATCTTAATGAAGCTGTTGTACGTTTTCACTGATGGCTGAAGGGCCGCAAAGTTCTGGTAGATAGTTCTCCCTTGCTGTTTTAGTCATAGAATTTCATAAAATCATTCAAAAATTGGTTTGGTAAGTAATTAATAATGTAAATGATGTATTAAGTTTGAAATTATCAAATTAAAAATTGCTAAAAGTAATGAATTTGATTGCGAAATATGATAAAAATTCAACCTTAGCGAGTCTGATCGAATTAATCCATTTAGTTTTCTCCAGCTCGTCCTCAGTGCAAAAATATTTCACGAATTTGCTGTTACTTCTTTGAACTTTTGGATGCTGGAAGTACAGTACAAAATTAATTTTAAAAACAAAAACACGATAATTCGGCGTTTGTTTCCACATTTTTGAGTTATTTTAGTATTTATTTTGTACTTTAAAAATATTATTTCGAATATTTTTTTAATTTTGAAATCTAACTTTGAGTGCGAAACAAAAATCGGTGGGAGATTTAAGTTTCTTCTGCCAACTGACGCCTTCATACACTTGCACGTTGTTCAGTTGCTGCAGGCACACGAGATCCATCAGTGACTGTTTCGTATTTTATTTCCATCATTCTTAT